TATGTTATGGTTGTTGATGGGGTGTATAGTTACGTATATATCTGTTGTGCATGGAATGGTATGGTCGTTGATGGGGTGCATAGTTACGTATATATTTGTTACATGTCCAGATATATTCTGCGTTTATGCCGAACTGCATTCTTTATGGCTGTGGCGACACACACTCATACTCATGTTTTCTATATCCATTAACAACTACACTTGTACGTGTAATATATGCTCACAAAGACATTCACCTACACATATAACTATAGTTTATACTTACATAGATACACATCTACACATATACGTGTAATATATGCTCACATAGACCTACACCTGCACATAGACCTACACCTGCACATACGTTTAATATATATTCACACAGACATACACCTACGCATATACGTGCAATAAATACTCACACAGACATACACCTACACATATACGTGCAATATATACTCACATAGACTTACACCTACACATATACGTGCAATATATACTCACATAGACCTACACCTACACATATACGTGCAATAATACGCACATAGACATACACCTACACATATTATGCGTTAATTATATGAATTTGCGGGATTGTTTATTCACGTGGGATTGTGGGATTGTGGATTTTAAGTTTTGCAGGTGTGGTTTCTGCAATATATACTCATATAGACCCACACCTACACCCCTACCCCTCTCCGTGCCATCTATTCTAGGCTGGATTACGACCCTGCTGACCCGGAGACCAAAGGCAACTATCTGGCCGTGGGTACGATGCTACCACAGATCGAAGTGTGGGATCTGGATGTGGTGGATGCAATAGAGGCCGTCTGTGTACTGGGACAGGTGCCTGAGGTGGAGAAGGTGGTTAAGAAATCGAAGAAGAAGGGCAAAAACGGTACGTTCCGAGACGATGTGTACCGAACTGCGTATTGAATTTCGAATGTATGTGTTGCGGTGCTATAGAGGCGGGGGCTTATGTGTCATAGGGTGCGTGGGACAATTATGGGGATGTCGTGTGGTCCTTGTGGGTGGTAGGTATCGTTGCACCTATACTGCGAATTATACATACATATATACACACATATATACATACATATATATATACGCGCATACATACATACATACATACATCATACATACATATATACATACACATATACGCGCATACATGCATACATACATGCATTCAATATGTCATCAAAGACTCGCGGCTTGGCTATAACGGCGAAAGCTTGAACTTATCTCTGAAGGGAAGAAGTTCCGTCCATGTGTGTGTCTGTTGCTCGGGCACAGAGTTTTATTGTTGGCTTGTGTATGCCACATGCACTTGCGACTGCAGGGAGTAGGACTACATCCACATCGGTGGTTGGGAATATG